TTGTTGCAAGGTTTTCTACAACAGGAGGCAGAATGCCTAGTGCCTAGCTCTCTGTCTATCTCCATAAGAAACACTTTAACACTAGGCGTGCATGCAAACAAAATTATTATACTTTTCAAGAATGAGTATAAAATCAAATCATTACAAAACAAAAGGATATGAAACCCTTATTCACAGTCCTAGAGAGAACATTAGTGTCTTTCCTTGCCCAATGCTTCCATGAATAGAAACATCATAAGCACCATGTACAGATCAGCCACAGGACACAGACAAGTAACACTAAATCCACACTATGCTCTTTAAGAAACCAAGTACTGAGACTTCAGAAAGAAGGAAAGAATTCAGAACTTAATGATCTCTAATTTCCTGAATTTGCTAAGCAATTACTGAGAATAGTGGCCTGACTGTGCACAACATTCTGCCCCTCCTGTTTAGAGGGAGATGGAAAAACTATCAATATTTGCTGGCCTTCTACTTTGCCATTGAGGAGATCAATAAGGATGTCCACCTGCTTCCCAATGTGACCTTGGGTTTCCACCGCTACAATGCCTTTAACTCCCACCGGAGAACCTTGGAGGGCCCTCTGATGTGGCTGTCTGGAAGGAGGGAGTTTATCCCTAACTACAAATGCAAAACTCAACACAAAGCTCTTGGAATCATTGCAGGAACCAGGCCTGAATTTTCTGCTGCAATTGGAACCCTTTTAGAGCTCTATAAAGTACCACAAGTAAGTTGGCAAAGTTTTGGTGTCCATAATCAAATAAAACATCTGACCAAAAGAAAATGGAGTTGTCTATGTTTCCTGCTGGTGATTTCAAATGTAAGTGAAAGAATTACGTGGATCCTGCTATGATCAACAGTGGAGAGTGGTGAAAAACATGAGCAGTAAATACTGTGTATTTCTAAGAAGATCACTTAGTAATATTCATGATTCTATCTCCCGTCTTTGCCAAGATGTACTTGGTAGCTCATAGCTGAGTGCTGTTCATAAGTCAAACATACAACCCAGATAACTAACTGCCCAAGCTGGGGTATAAACATATAACTATAAGTTAACCCTGTGTTCAATGACTGACAGTTAGAGGAATAGTAAGTTCAGGACATGTAAACAAATCTGGGACAATCCTTGGGCCATCACAAAAGAAAATGTTCCTAGGAGTTTATTTTCTCATTCTGGAAAGTAGATCTCTGAATAGCACTCACAGAGAACATCCACTTAGATACATCCTGACAATTGGCTCTTGCCAGGCACTACTGAAGCAAAGCAACCATCAGTAGGCATCACTGCAAGTAGAGAAAATATTTGGTGAGTGCTTCCTCATGGATAATCAAAATTAGAAAATCAGACAGTGTAAAACTGATTATTATCACTCAGGGAAACAGTTCATACATTTAATGTATCCTAAAATAAGAAAAAATTATATACACAGGAATTTCCATCTATCTCAGAGTTTTGCATTTTAAATTAGTTTCTTGGTAATGACTTTATCAAACCTATCATTTGGGAAGTATGATGCAACCGTGCTTGGTGAAATTCCCCCAGATATTCATGATTTGCTCTTTTCTAACACAGGAGCGAAATCTGTGAAAAATGTGTTATTTACATTCCTGAAGGCAGAGGTTCTAGGGAAGGTGATGTCCTGTGGTCCGAGTAAAGCACTTGGTAATGCTTCTGCAGTCTATCTCTACACCCCATACTCTGTTCCATTGTTACTGGAACAAGAGAAATCCATGGTGCCTTTAAAATCTAACATGAACAGAATATTGTTCACTCACTTGCTTCAGAGTTCTTAATAACTTTGGAGCCCATAGTACTTGAAAAAGACCATATTCCATCACACAATGAGAGAGAGAGAAGCTAATATTACAGAAGACAGTCTCCTTACCAACATTCAGTTTCCTGATCCCCTTATGCGAATAATGAACTCACTTT